AACCTGATCCCTTTATTGCCTCTCTAGGGCACTATTAAGTGTTCAGGGATCAAAAGGATTTGCACAATGGCAGGTAATTGTACCCGACAGGGGAATGCCTTTAACGGCCCCTGTGTTCCTGTAAACAGGAATCCGGGTGATGGGAGGAGGGTAGCGGAACAAGAATCCACCCCATAATAACCTGGCTGATGAATAAACTTTGGGTATGTTTAGAGCCGAGGGACGCGGATTTGAATTCTAAAATAATCGTACAAAGGCTGTGTCTGCCTCAGTGAGCAATAACGTATGAGAAATCAGATATTTGCATAGGGATTTTACAATACAATACTTCTAATGGGTCATTCAATTGTAATTCTTTAATTCGTGTTTTAATATTTTATTTTCCGTTATAAGAACTATTTCAACCAAAGTAGATCATGGGATTCTTTATGTATGAAAACATACAAATATTTTGTTCTATTGTGAGAATGTATGCATGTAAAATACTTTTTTTCTTTTCAAAAGATAACTTTAACTTATAATAGTCACGCAGCACTTCAGAGTTCATTGAGTGAAAAAATATCGGGTTTTGGTCATGTGATAAATAGAATTTTTTTCTTGACACTATAAAAGCGTTGACATTTATTTTTCTGACGAATTAAAATCAAATTATCTGCCAATTTTCTTTACGCAAGAATTGCAGCTAATGATGTAGAAAACCCGATTAGACTCCAATAGCTTAGAAAGTGAAGGAAAATGTCTTTTAGCATGAACAAGTACCCTTCAATTACCCCCCATTCCTCACCCCTACCCATAATGTATCAATGTATAGTGCTGTACACTGAATTACAAATGTGACCATTTCCATATTGTGGACAAGCGTCATTAGGGGGACATGCAGTGACCATCACCACGTCTCACTGCTGTCAAAGATACGTTTAAAAAGGACTTACAAATGATTGACATTGATGTACCAGCCTGGGACAGATTCATGGGAGTTCTGTAATTGTTATCTGATAATGTTCTGATAACATTTAGATAATTCCTTAAGCGTGTGACAGTGGTTGGGCTTGTCTGATTAGCTGATCATTATTTATCTTTACCAACTATTGTCTGCATTCGGATATTTGTCACCATTAATTACTAAATCAGTATATCGGTCTAGCCTATTTCATCATACACGGATCCCAAGTATATGTATAGGACGGATCCCGAGTATATGTATAGGACGGTTTGGTGTACAGCCCTTGCAAACCTGTCTTTATTGTCCGTTTGGGAGTATGACAGGTATGTTTGAACACTGGTTTACTGTTGGCTGGAACAATTAATTTTATTGTGGGAAAGTTATTGATGACGCCATTCAATTAGTGAAATAGTTGTTACTCCGTGTTGAATTGTTGCTCTAAATGATACACAACCTGTTCAGATTATTTAAACAATTTTTGTTCAACCATTCAATAAAGAATTTTGTATAATAGTTTACATATATATACTGTGAAACCTGTCAAAATCGACACCCTGCAAGGGGGATATAACAAAATAGTCAGATAACACAGGCGGGTGGGACATACAGATACTTTTCTTATAAAATGGGATTTAGGCGTTAGGTTGGAAAAGGCTGAATGTCTCAATACTCCAGGGTTAGATTACAGTATTATGTTGGAAATGGCTGAATGTCTCAATACTCCAGGGTTAGATTACAGTATTATGTTGAAATACAAAGAATGTTGGAATACTTGAGTCAGTTTAGACAGGCTTCAAGAGTCAGATTAGACAGGCGTCAAGAAAAATCAAGAGAAATACTGAAGTGTCAACAAAACAATAATTGGAACTCAAACGTCGATACAACTTGGGCAAAACATGTACAAAGGAAAGATTTACTTGAAACTGTAGCAGGGTACAATATGGATATTTATAAATTTCGAAAAACTTATTTTATATTCTTTATGTTGACAACTCATTAAATGGCTTTATAATTGGTAGTATTCAAATTTTAACCGAGATATATTAAACAAATTTGAAATATGCTAACAATTCTAATAAATCTAAATGCAAAATTATCGTTTTAAACATTTTTAAAAAATAGTTCAACGCTCAATATTCTTCAGCTTCTGTTCTCTTCAATTTTTAAAAGTATACTTCAATTTAATATGTACATATAAATCTGGTCCTTTCAATCTTTGATGATTTGTAAAACTTGTTTGCATGATGATTACAAATCTTTCATTTAAACTCATAATATGATATTGGCTAATAATTCAATACTTTTTACAGTTTCTTTGGTAGATATATACCGCAATATTTGAAATGATTAAAAATGTTTATTTAAAAAAATAAAATTTGTTCAACTCAAAAAACAAAAACATTTGTATTAAAACACATTTTTGATTTACTAAGTAAGATTTGTAACAAAGAAAATCAAAATTTAAAAAATCTTGTTATTATATTTTTTTTTATCAAAATTAAACATTTGAAATATGCAATAGAATTTGTATTAATTTGCATATGTCCTATGGACATAACACAACAGTTTCAGAATGTCGGTTATGTTATTTCAACACAAGGCAGATGCTAGAATAAAGATAAAACCACACACATCATGTGAGTTCAACCAAACTACAATTTCTGAGCATAATCTATATCGATTCTACTGGATGTTATTTGCATCAAAACACTCGCAACACTTTGATGTTGAATCCTGAACAAGTAATACAGAGACCAATGGAAATGATATTTTATCTCTCTATCATAATGTTTTAATAGGATTCACCAATTTGACTTATTTTGAACTTGTAGCGTTTCCAGTTGATACATTTTTATACCCTCCTGAATGATGCCATTGAATGAATTGGGGGCAAGTTTCAACAGGCATATCTCACCCCCTCTGAGCAACAATAAGCCGTTTGACATAAAACATCAATATCTTGCATGCGTTTATATTAGAATAGTGTGAACATTTCGGTTTCGTCAATACTCCGTTATTAAATCTTTCTTATCACGCAGTACAGGCTACCCAGCTTGGCGTGATTGGAAAACCTAGCAGCATGACCTGTGCGTGGTGTAGTCATATAACACACTTTTTGCCTCTAATTAGGGACGGAAGCAGATGATGGGATCTGATTGTTAAGTAATTTCGGGCTTTTTAGAGGAAACTTTTCACAGTTGGATAGTTTTTGATCATTGCATATTGATTGGTGTATTTGTGGAGTCTGCAATCAGCGTTTCCTTCCTCCAGTGTAGTCCACCTGTAGATGTTATGTGACAATTATCGGGGAGGAGAGAATCTCATTGCCGTTACATCAAAGGTACTGATGGTTAGAGATGTAACTAAACAGCGATTGGAAAGACATGTCAGGCTTTCCACCCGTAACTGTTATCTGGCACCTCTGTAAACAGCAATGACATTGTCCTGATTCAAAAGATGAAAGAAATCAAATCATCCCCAGGTTGGTATAGATATTTCATGGTGTCATTAAACTGTGGTATATCTGTCATCCCCTTGAATCGGAATGGAACATTGTGCATCAAACATTCTGGGCGAGTCCATTGTGTTTATGATGAGTGGGCAGATTTAAAGGGATGGACAGATTCAATCATACCTATAATCTGCAGATTTGAATAGTTCTTGTTGAACAACAATAGTGTACCGGCCTTTGTCAGGTTTTGTTACAAGTAAAACAACCCCCCATTGTTGCCGAATATTAAAAATGCATCCCCTTTTTACCTTGGATATAACAATGTCGGTGGTACGATGTTGTTAGAACATGTCTAGAGTATGGAATGAACAGATATTCAGATGACTTAAAATATAATGGAATATCTACAATGATCTTGCTCGATTCAGTTTACAAGTTCGGAAAGGATTACCAGAAAGTCTACCGCAAGAGATGCTAGTCATTTGCACAAATCTGTGGTTCTGAGACATTAAGGCAGGCAACATGTGGTTGCTATGTACTGTTCCTAGGGATCTAATACTCTATGACCTTTATTAACTAGGCCACAGATTGGCATCAGTTTTGCCTTTTCAACAATAAACATTAGGAAATGTGATTCTTTGTCAAATGAATCTTTACAGTCGTAGGTTTTTCAGTTGCTAATGAACCATGAATATCAATTTATCAGACGTATGTTCACTCTGACTAAACGACCGCAATGAATTAGTATCGGTGATTGAAACTGTGAAAAAAGTAACGACAAAGTTTCATATTCTACAGTAGCTGGGATATGTGTGGCTGCAGACAAAAGTCAGTGTCTGTCTTAAACATCTTGACAGGGAAACTTGTGTCATAAAGGTGTTCGGTTTGTTCTTCTAAGAGGCTTGTTTGTATCGGTGCTGTATATTTCAAAATAAGGCTTATTTGTGTAGGTGCTATATTTTGCAAGGCTTATTTATATAGATGCTGTATTTTCTTCAGAGAGACTTATTTATATTAGTGGTGTATATTATAAAATAAGGTGTATTTGTGTAGGTGCTGTATTACAAAAGGAGGCTTATTTATAAAGATGCTATACATATACTACAGACAGGCTTTTTTTTATGGTACTGAGTGTTCCTCATGAAGGCCAATGTATGGTATAGTTGCTGTTATTCCAAATGGAGATTCTTTATTCCAAAGGTATAATAATCGGACAAAGTGTCTTTGCTGCAAGCATGTCTCTATAGCCAATGTGTGTAGGACATCCTGTCTTTGCCCAAGGCTGTATACCTAGGTATGTCGGTGGGACATTATTTTGTATGCTCTAAGCGCAGCATTTGTCAGTTAGAAATCATGTTTATGCCCAAAGTATATTGGTAAGACATGGTTTCTATGCCCTGTTTCTCCCCCTGTATGGCGTTTGTGTAGCTATGCGGGTAAGCCGTGTTACTGTTGGTACCATAGTCGTCCCCATGTTGTGTGGTAAGTGTTAGATACCCTGTCATGTAGCATCGACACCATGTACATGTGAGCTAGGTTATATATACAAACCGTGATTTGCTGTTATTGATCTCGGGATAAGAGCAGTCTTTTCTTCCATTTCAGCTGAACCAAGCAGAGCTGGACTTGGCTAGCGCTGTGTTTAGATCAATCCTGGATCGTGCGAGTGAGTTGTATAGTGAGGCTTTGACCCCTACGCACGAGCTACTGACCCTGGCCGTAACCACTGCCTCCAACGTTATCAGTGCCACTGTCCGCAGTGCCGCTCGGGATAAGGCAGAGCGCTGGTTCTACCACACGTCCATGTCCGCATCCATCCACACCCTCGACCAGCTACTCAAGGTTAGTCAAACTCTTGTAATGTTCTTACAAAGTTACATTATAATTTTCTCACCTTTGGTAACTATTTCAACTTTAGGTTAGTAAAACTCTTAGCAATGATCTTAAATCATCTTAATCCTGAGACCTTAGACCGGCTGCTCGAGGTTAGTCAAACTGTTGTAACGTTTTCTTGTTGTACGTGTATTCATATTTCCACTATTGACCTGATTTCTCTGCAGTAATAATCTTCCACATATCCACAAACATGACATCTGCCAATATGTTCCAAAACTGCTCTTGCCAATTAACATTTGATATTTTCACACCCGTAAAGAAGAAGTTTCCTAAGGTTACTTTGACCTTTGTACGAGAAGTATACTGTAGCTGTTTTCTTGCAATTATACGCCCCAGAATTTCCTGCAGCTGCATGGGATTCTAAAACTAAAGACATAATTAATTCATTTTTAAAGTGGTCAGTATAATCAACGTTATAACTGTAGCCTCTTACCCTAAGTTAAGGTTAATCCTGTGTTCTGTATCTTAATAAGAAAAAAAAAATGCAAATGATCCAAATTTTAACTTCAAATTTTGTCTCGTATTCCTATGTGTAACCAAATGAAGCACTTGCTTGGGACTCCTGGCCTCAGAAATGGCTATGCACCAAATACTGTTATTACCTGTAATGAACATTACGGTTATTTTATAGCTTGTTCAACCATCTTGCCTCGCTTTTCTGATCATAACTTTCCTTTCAAATAATTGTTTTACCAAGTCTGGTCAATAAAAATATCTGGAACAGCAGGTCAAGGTCAGAGAGGAGAAAGAATTAGGGAAATAAGTGACGTCATAAGGAAATTGATTTGGGTCACAAGAAAATTTAATGGGATCACAAAAATGTCCTCAAGGTAATTGACTGAGATTCAGCTTAGATTAATTCAGAATCTGGAATAAATACACAAAATTATAGGTTGTTTGCTTGTTGTAAGTAGACCTCTGTTTTGTAACCCTGACGCATTAATTGCCTTAACTTGAGTTTAAATCAAATACTCGTCTTGGAATCCAAGCATGTACATCACACGTTCATTTCAAAGACAACCTCTCCAAAGATTAATAAACATTGCATTCATAAAAACATCTATATGGTTTGACCTTCCCATCTATATGGTTTGACCTTAACAATGGAACCAATTGCTAAATTCAGGAACGGTGGAGTCTGAGTCTGGATGTGTTAACCAAGTACGCTTATATTTGAAATTTGTTTTGACACAATAGACTGTTTTTATACTTGGTTATTCTCTAATGTGATCTGCTGTATTTCTGAGTGATATGATAACCCCCTTACCTTAATATATAACGTCAAACCTCATTAGACTGCCGTAAGTTGTAAATGATGTTTTGTCATTATAAAGGGGTTTCAGTGATATAAAGGTGCAAATTATGTGACAGGCTTTTAATTATGGTTTTTATGTACAATAAAATTGTACCTGACTGGAAATTATGATGAGGAAATGATTGACATTGTCAGAACTCTTTGTCAGGTGTATAGGTGTAAATTACATAATTTACCTTATTAGGATAAAAGGAATAATTTCTCTTCACCAGTTTGAACCAGGGATATTTAATTATAATAATTGGAATAATTTCTCTTAACTAGTTTGAACCAGGGATATTTAAGTATGATAATTGGAATAATTTCTCCTGGTTGTACAGACAGATATGATATTATAATTACAAAATAATCCTACTGTAGTGGAATACAAGGATATTATGTTTTATTAATTATGATAAAAGGAATATTTTTATGAGAATACTAGCAGTTGGAAACACATGTTTTTTGTGTGACCATTAATTGTGTACAGAAAAAATATTGTTCCGGATAGTTCAGCATCAGAATTCTTCTGAATTTTGCATTTCTGAACAGCTATTTTTGTTTTATAATATTTAAGTTATATGGTTTGTTACTGACCCTTGATTGAATGTAAGGGTGTTAGTAAGACCCACATTGAGCAAGGACGATAAGCTTACTGAAAACATAGCATAAGGACCTCTGCCATATTGTTTTCCGTGCGTAAACACCATAAAAAAATCCTGCTGACCTTCTAAGGTTTTCAAGAGGATTACCACATGTTCAAAATTGACCAATTGATGACCTACAGTATTTACCCTAATTAGTGCCCATTCCTCTATAAGTACGTACCCTATTCCTTTTTTTTAGGTCACCTGAGCTTTAGCTCAAGTGACCTATTGCTATCCGTTTTCGTCCGTCGTCGTCCGTCGTCCGTCGTCCGTCGTACGTCGTCCGTCGTCCGTCGTCCGTCGTCCGTCGTCCGTTAACATTTTACATTTCAAACTTAAAGTCAAGTTCTGCTGGGCCGATTGAACTGAAAGTTGATAGGAATGATCGCCTCATGGTCCTGACAAAGTGTTGTTATTTTTCGGGTCGATCAGAAATCCAATATGGCCGCCACGGCCGCCATTTTGAAAACCTATTTCAAACTTAAAGTCAAGTTCTGCTGGACCGATTGAACTTAAAGTTTGTAGGAATGATCGACTCATGGTCCTGACAAAGTGTTGTTATTTTTCAGGTCAATCATAAATCCAATATGGCCGCCACGGCCACCATTTTGAAAACATATTTCAAACTTAAAGTCAAGTTCTGCTAGGCCGATTGAACTGAAACTTTGTAGGAATGATTGACTCATGGTCCTGACAAAGTGTTGTTATTTTTCAGGTCGATCAGAAATCCAATATGGCCACCACAGCTGCCATTTTGGTAAACTATTTCAAACTTAAAGTAAAGATCTACTTGGCCGATTGAACTGAAACTTTGTAGGAATGATCGAATCATGGTCCTGACAAAGTGTTGTTATTTTTCGGGTCAATCAGAAATACAATTTGGCTGCCATGGCCGCTATTTTGCTACTAAGTTCTAATAGGCCGATCTCACTTAAAATTGGTCTAGGAATGATCAGCTCATGGTCCTGACAAAGTTAAGTTAACATTATACTATTTTTTACTCAAATTGGTACATATTTCAACAACAAAAATAAATACTATAGACTCAGGTGACCGTTAAGGCCCATGGGCCTCTTGTTTTGTGAGGGATTGAAATTATATAGACCCCCTTCCCCACATGGGATTGACCAGGCCCTGTCAAAGATTTATAGTATTTATACTTCAAAGCAGAGGTTAATATTAGGTGATCATGGCTGGACTCCTCCACCAACTGTTGCATGTTTATATAACCTTTTGGTGACAAGAATAGTAAAGTTGCACAACTCTTTCTTTCATAATTCACATTATAACCCTACTAAGTGCCCCCCCCCCCCCCCCCCCCCCCCCCTTAAGCCAATTTTTAAATACCCTGGGTACTGACTAGGCAACTACAGCATATGTAATATATATATAAACACACGCACAAAAACACTCTCTATTTATATGCTGAAACTTTGAAATTTTACGAAATTAATTTTGAAAGTTATTGTTCCACTGAATTTGCAAAGGTTGAAAATATCACTTAATATTTCAGATTCAGTGTACACGAATTTGAGTAGGTGATGGTGTTGGGGTTGGAGGAAGGAGGGTGTAATACAGTAAAATGTATACCACCCCCAACCTCATTGTAAATACCGTTTATAATAAAATCAATGCTTTTTCTTCTTATTTGGAATTGTCTCTTGAATATCGACCTTGGTAAAATAATATGTCTACCCTTAACTGATGGGTTTCCTGCCTTGGTGTGGAGGGAGGATGGATGGTTGTTACAAACATGTTTTTCTGTGTGTATAAAACTAAACAAAATAAGTAGGTCTACGTTCAGAGGGCTTTCTCCCGATCCTCATCACCACCTCCCAGGGTAGAAGTCATACTACATTGATTTGCGCTGGTAGTGCTTTAGTACTGTATTAAGTAGAGACATACGCCTTAAACAGCTTTCAGCTAAATGCTTCTGAATTATCAATTAAATACACAACTGTATAGAAACCTTTTGACAGACAGATTTACTAGCCCACTGATCAATACCTGTACCATTTCCACAGTGCTTTGTCCCAGTGCAGCCACTAATTAATCGCTTCGTAACAGCTGCTTTTGTGTTTGGCCGTACAGCGGTAAAAATCCCCTTAAACGCTTTATGTAAACATTGATTACTTTTCTTCTCAGATTATTAAAGTTACTTGATATGGATATCGGCGAGGCAGAATTGTGTTTTTATTGCTTCTGTGTTCGGAGGCAGGGGTTGCTACATTTGCTGGATGGGCGATCACATTCCTACGACTTCTGTTTCTGACGGCAAAGTAAACCTTGTCTAAATCATAGCTACATAGAAACCAAACATAGGTGTGAGTTTTTTATGAAGCAGCTATTTCTGTTTCAACCTTTTTTTTTAGCTGGCATGGCACAAAGGGCCATTAAAGTTTATTTCATGCATGGCAAAAATATATTCACGATCAAAGATGTCGACCTGTTCACCAAATCCTCACCATCATGCACATAGGCTGCAACGTTTTGAACTTCTCATATTTCTATATTAGACCAGTAATGTTCAAACTTTGACCTGAATAATGTGTGTTTTTTGGGGGGGTTGATTCAAAATCCTAGATAGCCACCGTGTTGTGCCTTTTTTTGATAATTTTCAATTTCAACCAGATATTGTAGAAATATTCCTGTCATTGCCTTACCGGTTATCACTTTCATTGTTCTGATTCAGTATTTTGCAAATCTGAGATAGAAACCATTGTTCTAAAATAATGGGAACATTTAAATTTCTTATCAAAGTAACAAAAGTAACAGGCAATACAGGCCTGCTAGGCCTCTTGTTCATGAAAGTTTTATGCTTTAGTCAAAATTGTAATGATTTACATGATATTTCATGATAGAGAATCCTGTTAGCATGTAAACAAGTTGCCTGTTAAAGATGACAATGCTTTCAGAATGTTCTGATATGGTGGATCTTTTAATAATGAAAGAAAATGTTGAATTCTGATTGTTCATTCAAATACCTAGAAAAATACTTTATTTTTTTTAATTTTTGGGAAAGTTTGATACTGTAATATGCAGAAAACACACACCGCTGTTGATGAGCCTTGGGGACGTAACTGACAACTCACTCATTCAGTAAGGCATTCTCATCTAGAAATTATCCTTTCGGGGAAAATGTGTACAGCTTCTTGAATGATACGCAAAAACACTTGCCGCTTCTTTCTGTTGCTTCATTGCCGTTATTAATAATAGGCTGTGTGCGGAGATCTATGAAATATTGATACAAGTCATTTACTTGAGAAGGAAAGTCATCTTCATTTTATCACTAGCAAGTCAAAGAAAACTGAAGCTTTGATTTTTTTTTATCAATAGACTTTCAAACGACTTTTTGATGGCTCTGATATACAATATTGATTTAATGGACTTATTGAATTGGCAAATAATGGTTTTCTATATACATTATGATGTAATTGCCTAACTAGTTAATACCTTAAGGATGAAGGAAATTTTTGAAAGAAATCTATAATTGTAAATTAAGATTTTGTTGAGCACTGATGGGCAAATATCGATCAAAGATATGGACACTGTTTCTCTAAAACAACATTAAACCTGGACAAGGTTAGAATTAAATTTGTTGTGCAATATTTCAGCCTTGGGGAGATATCTGAACAATAAAATTGTTAAACTTATCGACATATTCACTCATTATAAAGATATGTGATGTTTGAATTGAGTTGAAGATCAGACATGATTGCGCGAGTTTATGTTTTTAATTAAGGGTGAGAAAAAGACTTCTGAATTGAAATTTACATAAAACAAAATCATAAAAGTAATAAATCTGTAAAATATAATAATAACCAAATGTACACAGTAGCCCTTTCTGTATAGAAATTTTAATAAGGATAGATAAAAAGTAAAAAGGTGTTTTTGACTCTGGCATTTGATATTGATCAGTTACTTTAAACATTGACCTCCCAATTTCAGATAAACAAATTTTCTTTGAAATGTGTTCAAATTAAATGAGCACTTAATTTCAGACAAATAAATTTCCTTTGAAATGTGTTCAATTGAGCAATGATTAAAATCAAAGGAATACTCTATACATTCCTATAGTGTAAAGTAAGGAAAACAATTTTTGCACATAAACTGTGAGGGGATTTAAGTGTTGTTCATACGGAGCGGTGAGGGGACTTAAATGTTGCTCCTATAGTGCTATCTGTTACGGTATCATGGTGAATATGTTTTTTCAGCAGGTCCACAGTGAATGAGATGGAGATGATTTACTGGTTATTGAACGAGCAGATTGGATTGATGTCTTCATAAAAATCTCTACCCAATATCAATTATATATTATGGGGATTAGAACTGATTGGTTTTTATCTTCTAATTGATTGAATGACAGGACACAATAGAAACCTATCAACAGTAATCAGATTGAGGCCCTCTTCTCTTCCTCCTCTCAGACCTGCAAGTGGTGTCAAAGGTCATAGGTATCTTGTTTCTGATTGGCTATTATCTTCTGATTGATTTTTGAGGGGCAACACAATAGAAATCTATCAACTAGAAGTAGATTTGACCTTGATGGAAGTGCAGAGGGTTTGTAGGTCAGAGGTCATAGTGTCCAGTTTATGGCGTCACATCTGTCCCCGGGTTTAAATCTGATCCAAGAATTATTGTTGCCGGATCTGATATTGGACCATAATTTGGTATTGATTAAATGTATGATGATGTGACAGGGGGTTTACTTTGTGTTATTATGTGTTTATAAATGACAAGTAGAGACAAATCCCGGTGGCTTGTTGCTAGGCTCTATTGAGGTGCTGGATGGCTATATTATTGGCTGAAGATAGGTCCTTAAACCAAAGCCTGTGTGGACCGCCTTAGGTGAAAGCAGGACCTTTTTTACAGGTAGTAGTAGTAGTAGTAGTAGTAGTAGTAGTAGTACAACTTCGTCATCCATAGTTTTTATTGAGGTACTTATAGTTCATATTTCTTTTACTACTTGAGCTCATTTTCATATACATTTATACATATATATTTTTTTCTTTCTTTCAGAATGAGCTGAAGTTCCATGCAATCGGCCAAGAACCAATCAAGAAGCATGCTTACTTTGTCAAAACTATGGCTTCAAGATTCAGTTTGAAAGATAGACCTGTTCTAAAAATTGACCAATCAAAATTCACTTTACCAAAGGATATGTCTGTGATAATGAAGAAAGACAGCTGCCCATTGGATACTTTTTCACCGAATCATGACTGCTTTCAGGTCCACATGACTAAATTTCTTAGGAATCCTTATGTATTTGATCACAATAAAAACACCAAGGTAAGATATCTGATTACAGTATTTATTCTCAAAAGATGAAAAGCTATTCAGTCACATGTATAGAAACATTACTTAATTTTCTATTCAATATTTTGGCTAGAAATATTTAAACCTGAAAAATGTGTTTTTTTTAATGAGATTTTTTTTTTTCCATTTTATAAAAGGTTTTTACCAGGGAAAATATATTTCTGTCTTTGTTAATGTTAACTGCGAAATGTAAAAAGCAACCTTTGGTATTTTCTTCAGGATTTGATAAAGCAGAAACAAAATTGGTTATGTGACTATAGAAATGTCAGGATACATGTCAAAGTTTCCTGTCGACAGGTCGGCTCCGAAGTGGGTGCCCTGAAAATTTATACATGTGATGGAGAATTGGTACAAGTGAGTGGTCTCCAGGACAGCAACATGGTTACCATGGAGATCCCGCGACTTCCTCTTAAGGTAATACATGCTATTGATTATACTGACCAATGAACATTGTGTAGACTGTTTACTTATCTCGGGGCAAAATCTGGTCTGTTAAAGTGCTTTTATGGATGGGAGAGTTCTACTGGAATGCCAAGCCTTCAACACACAGACTGGAAATAGTGGGATCATTGGAAATATATAATGTTTCGTTTATACAAATTAATTTGGAGGTTTCACAAATACATTGAAATAGTGGCGCCAGAGTAAAGATTGTGACCCTAATATATCAGGAAAAAATTCAATCAATAAGCTATTATATCATTTCCCTTTTTAATCTAAAATGTACATTATTTAAGCAATGAATGTTTTAGCAAATGTTGTTATGGTCCTATAACACACATTGCTATTGATGACAAAGTTAATAAAGCCCGGCATAGAGATTGATGACGTTACAATAGTAAATGTTGTTATAGTCTCACAACAACATTTGCCTTCTCAATGCATTGTAATGGAAGGATGAGGAGCAAATGTAAATATAGGGCAAAATTTATTCCAGTTTTCACATTTTGTCAATCTCTAGAAAAACTAGAATGTTAAAAACGACAGAAAATGTTGTATGGTATTGGAAAAGTTTTTGAAAACTGCAGAATTTGTATAGATTATTCTATATATGGAAATGTTATTGTATTTTAGTATTAATCTAATACACACAACTTACAGGTTAGTATGATTGTTCTAGCGCCCAGTGTGGAGGTGAATAAGTAGGGTTTACTAAACAGTTACATAGCATGATCTTATCTATTCGTATACAATCGGTCTGTCATGAAGTCTCTGTATTGCCATTCTGGACTCGTGGGGGAGCTTTAAGAACGCTGTAAGTAAAATAACGTCTGTAAGCTAAGGCTATCGTGATACGTACAGACACATCAAAGTACCCACAAAACTAACAATCGGACAGCACGTAGTGACTGCCCAAATGTAATTTTCTCATCTCGTTGACCGGAACGTGAGAAGCTTTTTAACACGACTGTCCCTTGACAACAATATTATTAACTGACCACAAGGATTTGTTTGCTGTTGAAAATTCTGTGAATATTTGTCGGAAGTCTTTTTCGTGTGACACGGGAAAATTATGTATCTTAAGTTGTCTCTACTGTTTAATTGCCTAAAAGCCATCGGTAGATCCCGAACAAGCTGCTACATTGGTGAAGCCCTCGGGACATGCTCTACACTGCTCATTGATGCCAGTCAAGCACAGAATACATTCTGAATAAATCATTAACTCTCGAGGGCCCTGTAACATTTCGGTTGTAATAAGTAGCTGCCAGGTGACAATACTCCTGCATTAACAGCCATTTTAGTTTTGATAAATGGTCCTGTGCTTTCTGTGGTACAGGCTGTCAGTGACTGTGTGTATGGCACGTGTGTCTCATGGAAACCATGTTCAGGACAGATGTTATTCACTATTTGTAACTGTTTTGTCTCTTGGAAATAGTACAGGACAAATGTTACTGGCTGTCATTGACTATTGGCTATCTACTATAGACTATAATCAGTATGTGACTCAGACTGGACAAATGTTACTGGCTGTCATTGACTATTGGCTGTCTACTATAGACTATATTCAGTATGTGACTCAGACTGGACAAATGTTACTGGCTGTCAGCTGTGACTCTATTGGCTATCTACTATAGACTATATTCAGTATGTGACTCAGACTGGACAAATGTTACTGGCTGTCATTGACTATTGGCTGTCTACTATAGACTATATTCAGTATGTGACTCAGACTGGACAAATGTTACTGGCTGTCAGTGACTATTGGCTGTCTACTATAGACTATAATCAGTATGTGACTCAGACTGGACAAATGTTACTGGCTGTCAGTGACTCTATTGGCTATCTATTATAGACTATAACAGTATGTGACTCAGACTGGACAAATGTTACTGGCTGTCATTGACTATTGACTGTCTACTATAGACTATAATCAGTATGTGACTCAGACTGGACAAATGTTACTGGCTGTCAGTGACTCTATTGGCTATCTATTATAGACTATAACAGTATGTGACTCAGACTGGACAAATGTTACTGGCTGTCATTGACTATTGACTGTCTACTATAGACTATAATCAGTATGTGACTCAGACTGGACAAATGTTACTGGCTGTCAGTGACTCTATTGGCTATCTATTATAGACTATAACAGTATGTGACTCAGACTGGACAAATGTTACTGGCTGTCATTGACTATTGACTGTCTACTATAGACTATAATCAGTATGTGACTCAGACTGGACAAATGTTACTGGCTGTCAGTGACTCTATTGGCTATCTATTATAGACTATAACAGTATGTGACTCAGACTGGACAAATGTTACTGGCTGTCATTGACTATTGACTGTCTACTATAGACTATAATCAGTATGTGACTCAGACTGGACAAATGTTACTGGCTGTCAGTGACTCTATTGGCTATCTATTATAGACTATAACAGTATGTGACTCAGACTGGACAAATGTTACTGGCTGTCATTGACTATTGACTGTCTACTATAGACTATAATCAGTATGTGACTCAGACTGGACAAATGTTACTGGCTGTCAGTGACTCTATTGGCTATCTATTATAGACTATAACAGTATGTGACTCAGACTGGACAAATGTTACTGGCTGTCATTGACTATTGACTGTCTACTATAGACTATAATCAGTATGTGACTCAGACTGGACAAATGTTACTGGCTGTCAGTGACTCTATTGGCTATCTATTATAGACTATAACAGTATGTGACTCAGACTGGACAAATGTTACTGGCTGTCATTGACTATTGACTGTCTACTATAGACTATAATCAGTATGTGACTCAGACTGGACAAATGTTACTGGCTGTCAGTGACTCTATTGGCTATCTATTATAGACTATAACAGTATGTGACTCAGACTGGACAAATGTTACTGGCTGTCATTGACTATTGACTGTCTACTATAGACTATAATCAGTATGTGACTCAGACTGGACAAATGTTACTGGCTGTCAGTGACTCTATTGGCTATCTATTATAGACTATAACAGTATGTGACTCAGACTGGACAAATGTTACTGGCTGTCATTGACTATTGACTGTCTACTATAGACTATAATCAGTATGTGACTCAGACTGGACAAATGTTACTGGCTGTCAGTGACTCTATTGGCTATCTACTATAGACTATAATCAGTATGTGACTCAGACTGGACAAATGTTACTGGTTGTCATTGACTATTGGCTGTCTACTATAGACTATATTCAGTATGTGACTCAGACTGGACAAATCTTACTGGCTGTCAGCTGTGACTCTATTGGCTGTCTACTATAGACTATAATCAGTATGTGACTCAGACTGGAAAAATGTTACTGGTTGTCAGTGACTCTATTGGCTATCTACTATAGACTATAATCAGTATGTAACCCAGACTGGACAAATGTTACTGGCTGTCAGTGACTCTATTGGCTATCTACTATAGACTATAACAGTATGTGACTCAGACTGGACAAATGTTACTGGTTGTCATTGACTATTGGCTATCTACTATAGACTATAACCAGTATGTAACCCAGACTGGACAAATGTTACTTGCTGTCAGTGACTCTATTGGCTATCTACGATAGACTATATTCAGTATGTGACTCAGACTGGACAACTGTTACTGGCTGTCATTGACTATTGGCTGTCTACTATAGACTATAACAGTATGTGACTCAGACTGGACAAATGTTACTGGTTGTCAGTGACTCTATTGGCTATCTACTATAGACTATAATCAGTATGTAACCCAGACTGGACAAATGTTACTTGCTGTCAGTGACTCTATTGGCTATCTAATATAGACTATATTCAGTATGTGACTCAGACTGGACCAATCTTACTGGCTGTCAGTGACTCTATTGGATATCTACTATAGACTATATTCAGTATGGGACTCAGACTGGACAAATCTTACTGGCTGTCAGCTGTGACGCTATTGGCTGTCTACTATAGACTATAATAGGATGGGACTCAGACTGGGCAAATCTTACTGGCTGTCAGTGACTCTATTGGCTGTCTACTATAGACTATATTAAGTTTGTGACCGACTTGTGGACAAATCTTACTGGCTGTCAGTGACTATGGGCTGTCTACTATAGACTATATTCGGTATGTGACCGACTTGTGGACAAATCTTATTGGCTGTCAGTGACTATGGGCTGTCTACTATAGACTATATTCCGTATGTGACCGACTTGTGGACAAATCTTACTGGCTGTCAGTGACTATGGGCTATTTTCCTTGTTTGTAAATAGTATAAAGTATGTTATATTACTGACTGTCAGTGATGCTATGGTTTGTCTCGAGTGGACAAATCTTACTGACTCTCAGTGACACTAGATCCAATATGGGCTATTCCCTTGTGACATTATACAGTATAGATATATTACTGTCAGTGATGCTATGGTTTGTGTCTGGTTTACCTGCATTCCTAGCCTTTTTCGAGGCTATTGGTTTCTTGTATTTTAAAGCTTTAATCAGAAAAGAAGAAAATTATCAGAATGAATATTGAGAATTGTGTAGGCAGGTTGCTTTATGTAATGAAAATTATATGTTTAAGGGGGTAAAAGCGCTAATCATGCGATTCCTAATTACAGGAAGTTGATGTTTCAGGTGGTTCAATGAGATGAAAAGGCCAATGATATCCTATAATAAAACAAACAATAGCAATTAAAATCAAAATAGCTTTAAGTGAATATGATTTTTGTAACTTTATGCACGTAATTAAAAAAAAATTATAAATAGTAATGGCTGACGTCAGTTGACGACTTCTTTTCTTTGATTTTATATATAATCGGAATTGACAGCTAGTGTTTATTTGATCTATTTAATGCACTAGATATTTTCATTACACCTCGAGGCTACTGTGGACAAGGGCAGGTAGAGGTCACAGCTGTAACCTGTAAAATGTTGCATCAGAATCGTGTTACTTTGATAATTTAATATATGGAGCAAGATTTAATGATGACATCTCAGTCATGTTTCCTATCATGGCTGCGGAATGGAATTATGTTTTCATGTGTTATTTAAGAAAATGTAAACTGTTGTTTTTATATTATTAAGAATTTTATGACGACGAGGGATAAGAAAATGTTGGATCAAAGAAATTAACAGTGGTCCAAGTTATTTATTTTGTGCAATTTTTTCTATATCGAGCGATACATCCCAACATGATACACTAAAAAAATAGATAATAATATCCTACCATATGTCAAAACAAGAGCTGCTTTTACTTAACTTAAATGACACATTGCAACATGAGTTGCAGTCATAATGTACTTTATTGTGTTTGCATACATGACTTAAGTGTTTACCTAGGGTTCGCTGGTGCCTTCTCTATTGAATTAAGCATTCACAGAGATTCGTTTGTGCTAAAAAAACACCTGTAAAGATGGCTTCAGAGTCAATATTATTCTTAAACAGCCTGATGATGCATACTTTTTCCTAAGTTCATTCATTTAACCCATTCACCCCTAAAGTCATATTTGAACCTTACCAATAAAATTATTGGGCAAGTCCAGTTTAAAGTTGTAGGGATGAATGAGTGAATGGAAAAAAATACGAAAAACACTTGAAATACTCACGTCGGTTATAATTATAACTGTAAATACGGACGTCTGTCGTTGAAAAACTCACGTCGGTTATAATTATAACTGTAAATACGGACGTCTGTCGTTACAACCAGTTATTGACGATGTCAGTGTATGTAATTGCTTAAATATCTCTCAAAAATTTACTGAGATGCAACAAACAAAAGGTGTGTCACTATTTTGATGTTTCTTTCACAATTTCAATTCTCAAATTACCCAAAACCAAAAAAACAAACCTAAAAACTGATCTTGAATACAAAAATAAAATATCATAATGACCCTCAAGAGAACAAAACATGTTGTATAAGATTGTTTTTTTACCTTAATTGGTTTGAGCCGGAATATAGTATGGCATTTGTGTTGTCTGTAGACAGTGGAAACTTGATTTGTGGAGCAGGTGCATGTTTGATTTTTCTATGACAGTTTGTTTTAATGGAATGTGGTTGACATTCACAATGATGCGTTTTCCTGGAAGTCTTCAAGACTATTGTCATACATATGGAGTTATTTATGTTCGATTATTTGGTACAAAACCAAACGCAACCATTTCAAAAGGTTCCCTAGCCAAGATGTATATGTCGGGTAAAGCGGCACCTACAAGCATTGTATGTGGAGCCTCGCTATGTTAGGCAATGAATAATTAAAGAATGTATGTTACAAAAACTTGGGACTAATTACTGTGAAGACGTCACTGGTGGGCTAAGCTTCGCTGGAATGTTGTAGTTATGTAATATAAATGTGTTTCTCGGTTTTGATGAAGGCTGGTTAACCCCCATTGGTGTACTTGTCTTCTAAGCTCATAGGCCTTGTCACGACAGAAGATTGATTTCTTTTAATTCACGTACTGACAATGGTTATAGTACCAAATATACAATTAACAACTGAAGCTGAGGTGGATATGAATGTTTGATAATCGTAACAAAATTGTATTAACCAACATAAAAGAAAGAAGAAAACTTGTATATCTACCTGATTCAAAACCTGCTGGTTTTTGGCAAGGATGAAAATATGCAATTAACAACTGAAACTAAGGTGGATATGAATGTTTGATATCCATATCAAAATTGTATTAACCAAGATAAAGGAAAGAATAAAACCCGCTTCGTAATCTGCTGGCTATCCGTTTTCGTCCGTCGTCGTCCGTCGTCCGTTAACATTTTACATTTCAAACTTAAAGTCAAGTTCTGCTGGGCTGATTGAACTGAAAGTTGATAGGAATGATCGCCTCATGGTCCTGACAAAGTGTTGTTATTTTTCGGGTCGATCAGAAATCCAATATGGCCGCCACGGCCGCCATTTTGAAAACCTATTTCAAACTTAAAGTCAAGTTCTGCTGGACCGATTCAACTGAAAGTTGGTAGGAATGATCGTCTCATGGTCCTGACAAAGTGTTGTTATTTTTCGGGTCTATCAGAAATCCAATATGGCCGCCACAGCCACCATTTTGAAAACCTATTTCAAACTTAAAGTCAAGTTCTGCTAGGCCGATTGAACTGAAACTTTGTAGGAATGATCATGGTCCTGACAAAGTGTTGTTATTTTTCGGGTCTATCAGAAATCCAATATGGCCGCCACAGCCACCATTTTGAAAACCTATTTCAAACTTAAAGTCAAGTTCTGCTAGGCCGATTGAACTGAAACTTTGTAGGAATGATCATGGTCCTGACAAAGTGTTGTTATTTTTCGGGTCTATCAGAAATCCAATATGGCCGCCACAGCCACCATTTTGAAAACCTATTTCAAACTTAAAGTCAAGTTCTGCTAGGCCGATTGAACTGAAACTTTGTAGGAATGATCATGGTCCTGACAAAGTGTTGTTATTTTTCGGGTCTATCAGAAATCCAATATGGCCGCCACAGCCACCATTTTGAAAACCTATTTCAAACTTAAAGTCAAGTTCTGCTAGGCCGATTGAACTGAAACTTTGTAGGAATGATCATGGTCCTGACAAAGTGTTGTCATTTTTCGGGTCAATCAGAAATACAATTTGGCTGCCATGGCCGCTATTTTGCTACTAAGTTCTAATAGGCTGATCTCACTTAAAATTGGTCTAGGAATGATCAGCTCATGGTCCTGACAAAGTTAAGTTAACATTATACTATTTTTTACTCAAATTGGTACATACTTCAACAACAAAAATAAATACTATAGACTCAGGTGACCGTTAAGGCCCATGGGCCTCTTGTTTGCATTGATTTTAGTAAAAATAAGAATGGTAGTTTTGCAAATAAAATTAATCATTTGAATTTTACTTCCAGGAGGAGGCAACTTTGTCAGAGTTGGTGGTACAACATCGGTTGGAGAGAACCGTGATGAACCTTCATCAGTTCAATGTGAGCAAGGGACGACAACGCCAGTCCCTGAACATTGTCTTCACGCTGACCCCAGCCTTCGAGGAACGCCTCTTCCCTATTGCCTTGATGATTGGGTGAGATTTTTCAGTATTGTCCGATACATATTACATCATGTGAATTTTTATCAGTTTAACAGACACTCTTTGAGACATTTTAAAATGTTGTTTTACAATAGACTAATTTGTATAGAAAGTCTCTTTGATGTTTTTCTACCTTTTCTTAATTGTGTAAAAAGATTATGCATTTTTCCAAATATACTGTATATAAACAATATGTGTGATTCTCTGCATTGCTTACAAGCTATTTTTGCTTGTTACAGAATGATGACATATACATATATTCATGTGGTCATAAAATATTTCTAGACAAAAAGTTTGTGGTTTTTGGACATTGTGTGTAAGATGATTGGGCATTTGGTGCTTATGACAAATGAGCCTGCATGTTGTTTTGTAACAGTGTGTTTTAGTCTCCCACTTGTGCTAACCGACGGGAATTTCAGGTTTTTACCATGTCTGTCAGTCAGTCATATTGTCCGTGATGTATCTCATATACTCTGTCATTTACGATTACTAAATTGGCATGAGAGTACCCGACTTGAGACGATGGAGTATGGTGTACTGAATTGGCTCAGATGTCCCACTATACAGAGTTAGATGCCCCACTATACAGAGTTAAGGCTCAAAGTTTATCCAGAGATGTGGGACTGGATTACTTGTTATACTTTCGCCTTGTTTGAATATTTCTGAAAAGAGAAGCACAGTACTCCAAAAGTTGTTTGCACTATCCATGCGTATACCAGTGAAAGGATAGTTGGACTGCAGAGGTTTCCAAAACTTCCCAGACTCAACCAGATACGTGGTCTCTATTCTTGTAACGACAGGTGTGCCTGAAATTTTCGCTCAAACCTGTCAAATTTCTAAGGTGAGCAAAGTTTCAGGTGTGTCTGTCTTGCAAATAACACAGTGACTGACCCTGGTTTCAACATTATGTGGAAATTGTTATTATTTTAATATGTATATGAGCAAAGGTGCAATGGCATCAATTTGCTATATATACTATTGGCAGTTGTGTGGAATAAGAAGTTGTATTGATATTAACCAAGGCCATTGTTTGATTTCTGTATTTTGTTCGTAATATTGATTTGTAATTTAGATGAAAAATGTATCGTATTATATACCCCAGTGGTATGTTTTGCCTTTATTTCTACTGTTGGTGAAGACACATTCTATTGCGTTTTGTCAGGGAATTGTTTCACTTCCAGTAATATCAAAATAGCATTAAGATCTAAATATATATTTAAGGGTCTCCTTGATCAGTCTCACTGCAGGAAAAACACAAGAGAATTCCAATGTGTTTTTTCAGTAACCTAGCTTCCTTTAATTTTGATTCGGATATAACTTCTGTTGACTAGGTGGTTCAGTTGGTTAGGTAGTATAACAATCTCAGGTGCAGGATTCAAATCTGGTCTAGCCCCGTTAAATTAATACACTAAAAACAAGATATAATTTGATAATTCCATCTTCATTTTGTCTTTCACAAAAGTCACACAAATAATGTTTTCTTTTCAGAAAATGTTTATCAAAGCAATAGTCATGCCGGGGAAACCAGTTTTGATGGCTTAGTTACAGTATGTTAACTCATTCACCCCTGAAGACACTTCTGAACTCATCCAAATCAATGGTTGGAATAGTTCGTTAAGAAATTTCAGGGGTGAATGAGTTAAAGTTGTAAAGGGATCCTTTAGCATAAAAAATTATCTGTGTCCCTATAAAGTGTTTTAACATGAAATAAAAGATGTTATTTTCTTGTTCAGAATTTAATCTGTATGTGTTCAATGTCCCAATTGTTAACATTAACACAAAGGAAAAGACTGAAACAGTTGTGTTTTCCGTGTGGGTTTTGAATTGTAAATACGTGATACGAGTGTGCTGAGTGCTTCACTTTGAACCTAGAGTCACTTTAAATGCCATCATTTGATAAAAAGATTGGTGAAAGTTTGGAATTTTTCCACATATTGATAGTAAACTGTTACTGGTGTATCTTGCCCTGCAAGATTACAAAACAATCTAGTTCTGTAAAGGACAGAGGGGGAACAAAACCAAGCCACGTTACAGCCCTGCACCAATTCACCCTTGGTAGTTCCGCCATAAACATGGGAAACTCTAAGCTACTGAAGGGCGCTATGACCTAACTTGAATGTTTATTGGAAAGTTTACACTTGAAGAAGATATAAGTCAGTGAGAAATCCTTTGTGTATACAGTAGCTAGATAAAACAGGCAAAGACCTGGGAGTCCGTTATCCGATCTCGCTTGATTGTCTGACATGCTAAAAAAAAAAAAAAGTTTAAACACCATCAACGGTGAGTCACTGTTAAAAAGAAGGAAAAGAAATCTATACACAAGACTAATATAGACTCTGAATGTAAATTGCAGGTTCCAAGACCCGCCCACCCCAGACAAATACCTGCTGAGGCGTGAATTTGATGTGACAACCTTACAGGGCAAGCTCTTCCTGCCTGCTAGCTACTTTAATGGTGAGTTGGTTGGAATAGTGTCTTTCAAGTCTATTGTCATTGTGATTTAAAAAACAAAACAAAAAGGTTGCCCAATTTTGAAAACACATCTTATTTCATTTTGTAAGAATTTCATCAATAAAATGTCTTTGGCAAGAAACCTACATTAAGAAATGTGATACACTGTCCACAATGCAGCAAAAATAACAATTTAGAATTTCTTGAATGGTTTTAAGTCTGTATTTTGGGTTGGTATTATATTTACACAAAAAGAAGTAATGTGAGATTCAGTAATAGGTATCAATGTAAGAATTGAGCATATTGATTAAACTTATATGCAGGAATGGTAAGGAAGCATTCATAAGACCACCATATAAGTAAGGTTAGCACACATTTAATGAGTAAGATCAGAGCTCAAATTGTTAAGTTTTTAACTCATTCACCCCTGAAAACACATTTGAACTCTTCCAATTCAAAGGTTGGAATAGTTCATTATGAAATTTCAGGGGTGAATGAGTTAATGCGAGTATAATAAGGTCAAAGCTTATTCATTGGAAAATGTCAGAGTTTACATCATAGCTGGACGTATTTAATTTGATCCCGAGGCATCATGTCAATATTTGTATCCATAAATCAGAACATATTGGCTCTGAATTGTCCATAAACAATAGGAGGCTGAGGTTAGTGATTCCATGTAGTGACGCCTCTATGTAACAGTGTGGCCGTTAATGAAAATCTTCCATGTCAGCTGGCCATTAATTCAACATGGCCATGCTCACATAACCCTATGAGGAGTCCTGCCATTAGCGTGTACATGTCTGTGGGTCATATATGTAGACGGAAAGAGAATCTTGATATGTAGACAGTAAGCGATACAATGGACCGACCAGGAAATGGAAGGTCTCCTGTGGGAACTGAGAGGTGATCCAGTTAAAATCTGGGCCATAGTCAAATTAAATTCATGATGTCATCTTGGCAAATTCTCTTTTATATTGAAAGTTGCTATCGTATGACGCATAGAAATCAAATAACCTTATTTACTTTCCGTCCAGACATCATGTGAGACACAGACGTCATGTGATCCACGAAGAATTGGAAAATAAATGGAAAATTAACACACAAACAAATCCTTTGTAAAACTCCTTCTTCGCTGTACAGTCTGTTAATTTTGTTTTGATGGTAAATTTTGTCTGCAGGAGAATGCGGTTCAACACTTTCACCGTTCTAACTACGTTTAAACTACAGACTATTCATACACTGGGGTTGTTCTGTCAAGGGAGACTGGAGCTGGTAACAATGTCACTGCAGCAGTGATCCAAAACTGTATCTATAATGGGAATTGTTTTCACAAGACTATTTAGTTGATCCATTATTTCATTACTAATCATCAATGGGAATGTTTAATTGAAAAGCAATCATTTCTTGATTAGATTTATCACCTCAGAGAATTATGAGACCAATTAGACTACGCGTTCATATTCATGTTTTTGAGCACAAAACACAGCTTAATAATTTTATTGTAAAAATAAAGCCAAAATGATTTTTCTTCAGCCTTGATTGTAATCATTTGATGTTGTCCCAAATGCGCCAGTCTGCCCAGCTGTTCTATCGGGTACCATTTATGCGCTGGCATATGGTGGAACTACTTAGGGGCCGCAGTGGCTGAGTGATTAAAACGATTGACATTCTACTACCACTGGCCCTGCACCACTGGGTCGCTAGTTTGAGGCTTACGTGGAGCAGTCACCAGGTACTGGCTGCAGGTCGGTGTTTTTTCTCCAGGTATTCATTTAGTTTTCCTCCACCATCAAAACCTGGCTCATCCTTAAATGAGCATGGTTTTTAATAGGACGTAAAACACAAACAAACAAACAAATCCAACAACTTAAAATGGAGGGTAATATTGATATTCATTTGTTTAAAAAAATAATTGCATCAGGCCATTTTTTATGCAAGGTCGAAGGTCATCGAGTACAAAGCCATGTATAATGATAGCGCCAAATACATTGTATGGTAACAATATGTGTTGACTTACCTTGTTATACCTTTAAGGCATTACCACATACAAATACTGTCAGTTTAGAGGTTCAATGTCCAGTCTGTTTTATTGATTGTACTGATTGGTGCCATGCCAAATTTAAACCCTATTAATTGTTGCCATGCCAGATTTAAACCCTATTACAAGGTGTTCAGGGAATTCACACGATTTTGTCGCTGAAATTTTAAAAGTTTTTTTTTTTTTTTTTTTACATTACCTTTTCCACATTAATACTTAGTTATTTTCAAAGGTCAGAAAATTAAAAGTGGAAAACTAGGTAAATCTGTAGGGAAATATCTGGGATGCTCAAAGGACACGTAAATCTGTAGGGAAATATTGTGGATGCTCAAAGGACACGTTAATAATGTGTGCATCTGTTCAGCTGCTTTGTTAATGTGATTTATAAGATGCATAATGTCTCTTGTTTTTGTGAATAGGATGAATGGACTAACATTGCATGGAACACGTTTTGTGCATCTTGCATGTCGACTTCTTGTAGTACGGACAAAAACGTTTTAGCCACGGTCCAAAAGGAGTCTGCCAGAGATAACGGCACCCATGACATCACATCAAGGGATAGTCGGAGTGACGGGCCAGACTTGCGACACGCTCCACCAGTTCAATTTTTATAAAAATCGACAGACCAACCTCACCATTATTAATTAGAAACCTGTTGGATCAAGCCTATGATTAGCTCTTTTTTATGTATAATGAAACATGCGCCTGGATCCCTTGTGATGTCATCACAGACTTTTTATCTCCAGCATTGACTCTTCTAGGGGGTCAACCAGATCATTTAAATTTAAGGCAGCCCGTTTGCTACGAATTATTAATTTTTGACTGTTGAAGATCACAAGATGAAACACCAGGAAGAAAAAAATGCATGAAAACAAATTGCCATTGATAAGACGGTCGTACAGGTGCTCCCCACCTCGATAAACAAAAGTGTCTTCCACACGCTATGCTTGCTCATGCTCGAGACACGGGCTACAACAAAAGGACATACATGTTCAGTGTAACGTAATGTGATACCAACTACTTTCTACTTCCATAAAACTTGTCACATTTTTGGAGTATTGCATTTAGCCAAGGACATGTTTCTTGCTGCAATTGAGACAAGTTCAAATACCCATACATAAGGTAAGTACAAATCCAGGTAAGTTCAGAAAGTATTTATAGGTAAAGAATGTATAGACTCTCTCAGAATGTAACCATATACAGCTTTACAAAATAAACAATAATCAAAGTCAGTTTTTCAGATAGTGAAATTATTCCAACTCTTTTAATTACTAATTATAGGCCTCGTTAAAAGTTTAATCATCATGTGAAAGGTCAAGGTCACATTTAAAAAAATGATACATATTCAAAAGTTCAAGGATTAATAAATAATTAGCAAGGTTGTCTTGTAATGAAAGGATCAAGGTCAAATAAAGGTAATCAAATTTTAAATATGGAATAAAGTTAACCCTAGAATCCTTCCATTTTTTAGCAAATCTGTCTATTCTGAGATCAATTTCACACCATTTACTGCTTCAATTCAAATTCCCATTATTGGTAAAATATTAGTCTGGTCATACCGGGGGAGAGTCGTCGATGTTCTGATCGCTGTGACATTTAACGCCACACAGATTCCTTAACACCATCAGACTGATAACGTCCGCCTTGTCAGGAATTATTCCCCTTGACGCTTTCCAAATGGCGACCAATTTAATCTCCTGCAAAAAAATTGCTGTCTGTCGAATACAAAATAAGTTTGACCTTTTGTACATACATGGGAAGTGTTTTGTAGCATAACACAAGGCATTAATGGAGACTTCGTGAGCCAACTCCAACAATCCTGCTTTCCCTGCAAAGGTCAATAGCTCTGTCTATATATCAATCATTGGGACAATCCACTATCTAAATAAAGGAATGTCAGGAGGGAATAAAATTAAGTGCAGAATTTTGATTCAAAAACAATTTTCTATTAGACAAGAGGCAAACTGATATTTAATGTGTAACCATTTCAGGGGAAACAGATTTAGGTTTTTAATAAAGTGTAAATTTTCATCAAAATTCATGCGCTGTCAGCGATTTTATATTTACGAAACACAATCATACATTAAATAAATATATTTTATTATGACTGTAAACAAAATCATTGAGCTATATTGTTTACACACTAATAATCCATACATCATATTTATCATTCTTTGTGTTGTTGTTTAGTTATAAATGCATTTTCCGGCATGTTTGTTATATTTGTTGAATTAAATGAGATTGTTTTTCATTAAAGCGTACTAAACATGAATGATGCCTTGTTTTAGTTGTTTGTTGAATTGTATATGTATTGCATGGAGTTAAGCAAAAAACGTGTTTACATCCTGTTGTTCATAGCTTGCTTTTGCTAATTAAATACATCAATTGTAATTAATGATTTAAGTTTGCTATTATAAAAAAAAGATTAAATTCATCACTTTTATTGCATATTATTGAATTTAGATAAAACATCTGAAAATGAAACCTCTAAAAACATGAACGCTATGTGGATATTGTATACATTGGAAATTCTCCTTATAATGAGGGTTATAAGGTATGATTAGCAATTGCAAGCCTTTGAACAACTAGGCCCAAGAATGTGATGCAACATCAGCTCCTAGCAATCGGTCACAAGCTGATTGGTCAAACTTTCAAAGAATCGTTAAATTGTTTACAGTGGACAAATTGAATCGTTCTGCCAAATAAATAAACAAGTGACTTACCTGTATAATTCCCTATTGGCATACCTGTTTAAGCAATGAAACAACATCTTTAACAAAACCAACCCACTTTAGAAGCTGGCAGCATTTCATGTATAAACAGTTTTGATAAAATCAGAATAGTGATGGTGACTTTGTACTGGAAATGACGTGGCATTACCTGCATGTTAAACCATCACAAGATGACATGACAACGAAGAAGCAGGAAATGGCCCAAGATTATTGAGGGACAGACAAGTTGGTCT